ATTAGGCATCATTTTGCAAAGCTGAACATCCAAACTCCTTTACCTAGCAATTCCACTCCTAGCAAATGGCTTACCACGGTGGTATTCCAAATTTTTTTGCTCACAAACAACCAAAAATCCTTTTAAAAATTACATATTCAGCCAGGCATGATGGCTCAAGGCTGTAATCCCAGCACTTCGGAAGGCCAAGGTGAGAGAACTGCCTGAGCCCAGGGGTTTCAAGACCAGCCTGGACAACTTGGTGAGATCTCATCCCTACAATATAACAAAAAATTAGCTGGGCGTGGTAGCACACATCTGTAGTTCCAGCTACTTAGAAGACTGAGGCAGAAGAATTGCCGGAGCGGCCACTGCACTCCAGTCTGGGCGACAGAGTGAGATTCCAACTCAAAAAATAAAATAAAATAAAATAACACACCCACATAATCTTTAGGAAACCTTCAATACTTTGTGAGGGTCATATACGCCAGTATGAAAATCAGAGAAAATCTTACAACTGTGAACCAGAAGATATGCACAAGAATCTTCATAATAGCAAAACTTGGAAACAACCAAAATGCCCATCAATAGGAGAAGGCATATACTGTGTTATATTCATCCATGGAACATACACAGCAATGAAAATTAATGACTTACATCTATACTCAATATTAGTGACTCAGACACATAACATCGAGGTTGAAATTAGCAAGTCCCAGAAGACTATATAGTATGATTTTTTTCCCACTCAAAAACAACAGAAACCATATAACACATTGTTATGGGATGTAAACATATCTGAAAAAATTATTTTTTAAAAAAGCAAGGCATAACACACACAATTCAGGATAGTAGTAACCCCTGGAGGTGAGTACACTCTATACTGGTCATTTTTATTCTTGGATTGAGTAGTGGATTCACAGACATTATTGTTTTGCTTCACAGCTTGCATATGTTTATATATATTTTGAATGTATCAAATATTAAGTTAAAATGAAGAGGAAATAATTTTTTTTTGAGTCAGAGTCTCACTCTGTCACCCAGGCTGGAGAGCAAAGGTATGCCACCCTAGCATAGAACTGCTGGGCTCAGATGATCCTTCTACCTCAGCCTTCTAAGTAACCGGAAATACAGGTACCTGCTACCACACCCGGCTAATTTTTTGGTTTATTGTGGAGATGAGGTCTCACCAAGCTGCCCAGGCTGGTCTTGAACCCCTGGACTCAGGCAATCCTCTCACCTCGGCCTCCCAAAGTGCTGGGATTAGAAGTTTGAGGCACCGCATGTTGGGAGCCAGCCTTGGAGGCCCACCTGATTGATAGGGTCCTGGTGGGCCGAAGACCCCGGGTGGCAGGGCGAGCCCGGGAAGCCGAGGCCCTTCTGTCTTCCACCTTTGCTGTTTGGTACTGCCGAAGAATTCTGTGCAGTCGTAGAAAAAGAAAATGGCATGTTTATGTGAAGTATTCACAGCTAACCTGAGAATGTCATGGTTCATTTTTCCATTTCCCACTATGCCGTTTGGCCTTTTCTAACATATGCAAGGGTTAAACTCTGAAGCACATCAAGAATGCTTTCTTTCACTTGGTTATAAGTTCTAGATATTGCTTGAGTAAATATAAGTATATTCACTCTTTATTTGATTTAGGATTATGCAGTTTAGTGTTTAGACATAAGGTTTTTATAGAAGCATAAGTTTATAGTAAGTTCATTATGAATTCATTATAAGTTCTAACACTTATTTAGGAGTTATGTAGGTGATTTATAACACTGTTTTCACAGACTTAGGATAAAGATTAATCGTTAAGGTTTTTACTTAATTCAATAGTTAAAACTCTAAGTTAACGTTTATAGAGTGGGTTTTCACTGAATTCATAGTATACTAATTAGATACTTTTATGATAAATTAACTAAAGACAGAAAGCAACCTTGGGGGCCTGGGAAACATCACTAAATACTTTTATGATAAATTAACTAAAGACAGAAAGCAACCTTGGGGGCCTGGGAAACATCACTAAAAGCTTCTTTTGAGTTTTCTTTAGAAATAAACACTGCAGGATAAGAGAAAAGTAGCGAAGACACCTGGACAAGAAAGGCCATTAGGAAGCTTTGAAGGTCTAGAAGCCCCAGATGGGAAAACTCCTGACACATGGAGAAATGTGCACTTGGAAACTTTCTTGAGACATTTCAAGGACTGTAATTCGGGACTTTGGACTAAAACTATCATTTTTGGCTTTATGAATAAGACTCATTGTCTGAATGTTTATAGGGTTCTTGGCTTGTTTGTCGCTTCTAGACCGCTAGATGGTGGTAACTTTTAAAGCATATGTATGTGAAGAAATTTTCTTTGTCTTGCCCCTTTACGAATGGTATAAAAGCTCTGTGTTAACTAACATCAAATTGTCATCTGTTCAGGAAGCAGGTGTCCGAGTATAATGTTTTCGTCTTTCGCCTATCCATCTTTCCTTCAGGAAACCTCTCGACCCGGCAGGGGCTGGACTCCCGCAACTGCGCCTGGTTAGAAATGATTCTTTAAAAATATTTGTCATATAAAAAATAAGTACTTTTAATTAAATCACCTCATCTGCCACTAGAGAGGTACGTATTAACATACGGAAATTCTATCTTTACATCAACCATAGGAACTGATATACATTAGGTATACAATAAATGTTCAATGAAATTAATCTTATGAGGACTAGATAAGATAAAGACTGAGCCAATTTGCTGTGCTAGATAAACCCATAGGCTGACACAGGGCTACAGCAGAAGTCAAGTTGGCTACAAGCAAATTTAGCAGCAAGATGAAGTCATAAGGAAGCTGGTCAATAAAGAGAAGGCAAAAATGTATGTGTTAGCAGGCATGTGAGGAAATGGGTGTTCTCAATACCAGTGAAAGTGAAAATTGGTACAACCACTTAGAGAGTTTCTGCAATATGTGGTTAAATTGAAGATGCAAATAACTTACTATCCAGCAAATCTATTGCTAGGTTTTATTTCCTAGAGAAACTTTCAAATGTGTGCACAAGCAGATAGGTACAAAGATAATTATTGTAGGACTATTATTAAGTCAAAAGTTGAAAACATCTTCAAAGTCCATTTGTAGGGGAATGTATAAATAACAAAGTATACTCATACAAAGCAATATTATACCAGCACCTAAAATGAATAAACCAAAGATAGCACAATTATTCAATTTATTCATATATAAATCTCAAAATATGATGCTGAGCAAAAAAAGCAAGTTGTAAAAAGACATGTACACTGTAGTTTAATACCATTCAAGTTTAAAAACAAACAATACTATATATTATTTATGGATTCACCGTAATCAAAGCATAAAATATACAAAGGAATGATATACACAAACTTGAATACAGTGGTTACTGCTAGAAAAGGAGAGGAACTGAGAGCTCCTCCAATAGCTGCAACTGTATTTATATATATATTTTAAAGGATCTGAAGTAAATTTAGCAAAATAATTACATCTGTAAATCTGAATCATGGATTGATTAGCTCCACCTCTGCATTTTATGCACTATTTGAAATATTCCTGAAATTTAAAAAAGAAAATTAAGCAGAGAGAAAATTAACAGAGACACCAAAATGCAGCCCTTGGGCGCAGACCACAAACCCTCGAGAAAACGAAGTCGTTGGGTTCCTAATGGGTTTGAAGTTTCTTTCCTTATGTTTCCTTACAATAAACTCAATTTTCCTTAGGATGAATGCAAATTTCTTGCAATAAAAATGTCCTAACTAGAGTCATAATTATGAGGAAATTGCTCCCAAGGGAGGTGGAATAAAATCTGGAAGACTTCTACCTTTTTTCCCTCGCCAGGATGTTAGGCAGAATGGAAAGAAATTTATGTGAACACCATAAAATACTCCAGGAACCATTAAGAATAGCCAAGAACGCCCAGGGACCGCTAGGATGTATTTGCCCAGCTGGCGGCTGCATATGTTTTGGAAGGAGTTTGCGCTGAAGGGCTTTTGGCGTTCAGGGTGCCTATGGAAAAGGCACGCTGTACTAGTACCAGTCCAAATGCACCTATGTCTCGGCTCCATTTTTGGTCCTTGCTCGCCCCCACTATTCTGTTCCCAGAACAGGCGGCTGGAAACACCACACTGACATCGTCAACGCTGCGGATCAGCTGGCCAGACCCGCCCCCTTCCTCCCTTTTCTTGTTAGTGTGTGGGGGAGGGAGGATGCTCAGAAGAGGCACGGAGAAGGGAGGAGCGCCGGGGTTATTCCCCGCTCCCCGAGTTCTTTCCTTGGGGAGGGGCCGGCCCCGGACTGGACTGGGCTGCCAGTTCTCACGATAACAGGTGTCAACAATGTCAACACACGGTCACAGAGCGAGGAGCGTGCGCGAACGTTCACCGACACGAACTCCCGCACACACGCGATCACGCACTCGACAGGACCCACGCGCAGCACACACTGGGGGGCACGCGAGGGCGCACACTCGTGCGGGCGATGCTCCAGGCGGGGATCAGGACGGCGGGAGGCGCGGCCACGCACGCTGACGGGGGCAGTGACACAAAAGGGGGCCACCCGCGGAGGCCGGAACGCCCACGCTGCTGCCGGAGAAAACCGGCGCCGACACAAAGGGGGTCCGTGAGGGGGCACACGGGCGCTTACCCGCGCAGCTGACAGGGGTGTCACCCACGCACGGACTCAGACATGGACGCGCGGGCAGCAGGGGGTTGTTCACACAAAGGGGCTGTTCCCATCCTTGCACAGGCACCCAGGCGTCCTCGCTCGCTAAGGGAGACCCCAGACAAAGGGGACATACCCACCGGGGCACACAAAGGCGGCCACACCCCCTCATCGCGCGGGCACCCCGGCCCACACAGACACACAGCGGCCACCACAGCGAGGAACATGGGGCGACGCGCACACACCCACACTCACCACACACCCACGGAGGGGGTGTGGAGGGCTCTCCTCCTCGGGCATCTCGCCTGCAGCGGGACAAGCTGACATATCTGGGAGCCCTGCCACGCGCCGGGTGTGCACTCACCGGGGTCTGCCGCCCGCGAGCCTCGGACGCGGGCAGTCGCGGCCGCCGCCGCCGTC